AACATTTACCAATATTTTCAAATTCTTATCCATTGATGACATGACAAGTATTGAATTTCACTTAGTTTACATGCTGATTTCCACATCACATCTAAACAATAAAATAAAGCTACCAGTATCTATGATATAACTCAGGTGACCGCTAAGGCCCTTGGGCCTCTTGTTATTGTTTTTTGTCACTTTGAATAATATTTCTGTTCGTGTTAAAAACAAAATCAACTCTCTGTATAAATATATCAGGTGACCGGTAAGGCCCATGGGCCTCTTGTTTTTGAAAATATTGTAATTTCAGTTTTGTACATGTTATTGTTTGAAAAGGACCATGTCAACGTTAATATTGCTTACCACCATTAATGTTCAAACGATGCTTCTTAATTTGTATATTTGTGTTCAGAACAAGAAAATTTCTATTCTATTTTCCTGTAAGGTTCTTTTTAGTACAAATGCACATGTTTAACAGTTTTACCAAATTATGGTAATCTGCTTCTTTTACGGAAACAAGTTTGTGGTTTCTATGGTAACTGTATATTCTCTATATATTTTCTTTGAAAATTATAATTACCATGGTTAGAAAATGTACCAACATTTAAAAGCCACTGCCATTCGGTAAACATATGCTAGTATGGCTGTTGATTATTTGTGATATAAATAATCATTTATATTTAATATTTTATTGTAATATTTTAAATTTCATTTTATCGAAATTGTTTATTCACAGGGACACAGCAGGGCAGGAGCGGTTCAGAACCATAACGACAGCTTACTACAGGGGCGCCATGGTAACCGATACCTAATATATATATATATAAGTCATATAAGACTATGAATTAAACTTTCATAACGTAATTCTGTGGTTCTCTGAAAAACATTGATATATTATATAATTATATATAAACCATTTTATGATGTGATTATGTGATTTTTGTAAAACTTGGTAATGTAATACAGTGAAGAATTTGTAATGCATAACACTATGTTATTCTTTATAAAACGGAAGTAATGCAATTCCATAATTCTTGTAAACATACAATGTGTCTATATAAACTTAACGATTGTTTCTGATGTCTTTTCAGGGTATAATGTTAGTCTATGATATTACAAATGAAAAGTCGTTTGAGAATATACGGAACTGGATCGGTAATATAGAGGAGGTAAGCTTGTCTACATACACAACCGTAATACATACCGTAATATAGAGGAGGTAAGCTTGTCTACATACACAACCGTAATACATACCGTATTAGCGACTTTTTTCACCTAGTTTTACACCCAAAAACAGGCTGGGTCCACTAGCAAAAAGATGATTTATGTTTCCAAAATGGAGAAAAACATGAGGGATATCTAACCTATTTCAAGAAAAGCTTTGCTATATTTTCCCAAATTTGTAGGAATACCTACAGCATACAAATTTTGATGATAAAAATTAAAAAAATTACTGTGTCAGGTAATGATAAGAACAAAAAACAAGTAATAATGTAAATATGGTGGGTTCAAATAACAAACAGTGACAGGAGTCAATCCGTACTTGTCAAATTTATGGCTGTCAGCATATATATCTCGTGCCAATTCTTCAAAAAAGAATGACAATAAAATTACATGATTAAATATTTTTCATGCAAATGTCTTTGTAGCATGCTTCCCAGGATGTGGAGAAGATGATTTTAGGAAACAAATGTGATATGAACGACAAACGGATGGTGTCCAAGGAGAGAGGCGAACAGGTATAAACGTACATCACTTGATTCTGTTCAAGGAATGTTTGAAAAAGAAACAAAACTCTGATAACTCTGATCCTTTCAAGGGACATAACTCTGTTCTCTTAAAGAGACATTATAATATTCAAGATATTGTCCTACTTTGTCGAAATAACATGACTCACTCTGTGATATTGTTCTTTAAGTTGTTGTTTAGAAGAATGACACAAATAAAATGGTTGTGACAGCATGTAACACTTTAAATCCTAAGAAAGATTTAACTCATTCACCCCTGAAGACACATTTGAACATTTCCAATTCAAAGGTTGGAATAGTTCATTATGAAATTTCAGGGGTTAATGAGTTAAGGTGTCAGCTCTAGACATTATCTATGATATCATCTGTCTGTTTGGTATATATAACTAACTTTGAAATTAATAGAGAATTATTTCAGATACCATGTGATATATAGTCATAGTAATTGTCATACAGTAGAAAAGATTTAAATCAACTATTACAAAGTGTGAGTGTGTATCTATGATATGTGTGTTTACAGTTAGCTATAGAACATGGTATCAAGTTCATGGAGACGAGTGCGAAAGCCAGCATCAACGTCGAGGACGCCTTCTTCACACTAGCCCGGGACATCAAGTCAAAAATGGACAAAAAGCTGGTATGTTATTAGATAATCCTACATAACCCCGAACAAAGTAGTGCCATTCTTTCTGATGTGCTCACCAAATAATTTGTCATATGTCACCTCTTTATAGAATTGTAAAAGTCATTCATAATCTCTAAACCAAATAGTCCTCTGCTATATAACCTCTTAATAAAACAGTTCCATCCTATGTATTACCATTTCATTAAGGTAGTTTAGTCATGTCTTGTGAAACCCTTCTACACAATTGTCCTGTTTTATTGTATAATCTCTCATAAATATTCTTTTTTATAACTTCTAAACAAAAAACTCCCAGGCAATGTAACTTCTATTCAAAATGTTCCCTTTTTATAGCCTCTAAACAAACTAGTAATGTCCTTGTTTTGTTTTGTTTGGTATTGTTAACGTCCTATCAACAGCTATGGTCATTTAAGGACGGCCTCCCCTGCGGCAGGATGCATGCGTGTAGTGTATGCCTTTGTGTTTTGGGAGGCTGTGATATGTTCATGTTAATATCCTTGTGATAGTGTGGAACCGATGCCGACTTTATAGTGCTACCTCACTTAAACATACTGCCGAAGCCACCCTGCAGGACACCACAGCCGGTCACATTATACTGACAACGGGTGAACCAGTCATCCCACTCCTAAATTGCTGAGCGTTAAGCAGGAGTAGAAAATACCATTGTACCCTCTGAACAAAATTATCTTGTCATATTAACCTCTAACGATATTGTACTAAATAAACTCTCAACAAAGTATGAAAATCCATCTAAACGGTGGCTGATTAATGCAATTTCGTTGTTTCATGTTTTGCGTCACAAAGACTAGAGTAATTTATTTGCCCCAAAAAGACGTGAATCAACAGAATTAATTCTCGTCATTTTGTCTTTTTCACCAGGAAGTGACAAAAATTAGCAAACCTTTTGTTGTTTTGGTGCTAAAAGATGAAAATATAAAAATTAAAGTTGATGAATTCCCATCTATTTGGGGAGGAAAAATGAAACAACAAGAAGAAAAGTAACTAAATCTTGTCTTTTTGGGGCGAAAAACACAGAAACATTGAAATGGTACAAATCATCCACCATAACTAAAGCCTCATAACAAACGTTTTCTGTACTCAAAACAAAGCGTCATTGTCCTTAATATCCTGTAACATCTGATAAAAAAATGTCATAAAACTCAGTTTAATCCTATGAAGCTTTATATCTTTTGTAACTGCTCAATAGAACAGCTTTCTGTACATAGTAAACAATCAATGTAGCCTGTAAATAAATGACTTCTTCCCAGCAACACCCGACTTCAAAGTCAGTCAATTTTTACCGTTACACGATCGCAAGATTCTTTAGATGTACCTCAAAGGATCGAACTAGTCTTTTTGTCTCATCAACAAGGTGGCGCACTCTGAGCCTTCAATTTTGCTATGACATATTTGTGGGTGCAGAGAGCGTAACTTACTGTTTACAGTAGTAATGAAGTAGAAGCGTAACTTACTGTTTACAGTAGTAATGAAGTAGAAGCGTAACTTACTGTTTACAGTAGTAATGAAGTAGATGTGGAGCTCTTGTTCTGCTGTTAGTGCTTGCTTTTGTTGTCACGAATGTCATACTATCTGTAAAGGTTTGATTTTGTCACAAAAGCCAAATCATGAATTGAAAATTTTCTTTGAGATATTTAAGTATTTGCATGACAATAGATGTTTTTCATTGAAATATTACTGCTTTTGATGAAAAGAAAGAAAAAAAGAACAAAATACAGTAAGATTTTTTTTTCTTTTTCTAAAAACATTGAATCTATGCAGTTATATGCCAATAGTATCAATGACATCTTTAATTTATGTAGTAAATAGTCGCAAATTGAAAAAACTCCTCTTGAACCTGATGGAATGACCTTTGACCTTTGTCCCTGTTGTTTTTTCCCAGGAGAGGAACAGACTCACAGTGAGAATGACTTTTGACCTTTTGACCTCACAAGGCTAACCTTCTCTGAACCTTTCTAACAACTAGTATATATTGTATCTAGCTTCCTAAGATATGTAACCTGATTTCCTTTTTTTTTAGGCAGACTTGATAAACATTCATCTCGAAGTCTGAATTTATAGGGTGTTTTGGGGAAGCTTATGTAGCGTTTTCTTTCCTGGAACCTGCAGTAGTTTACAGAAATATAGAACTTTTTACCCTTTCACCACTGTAGACCAAAATGGACTCACCAAGATAAATGTATGGTAGAGTCTACTAGGGGTGAAAGGGTTAAGACACAAAAATTGATAAGAAAAAGTTGTATGCTTATTCCACATGGCGTGAGACTGCTGGTTACAGTTTTACCTGTTTTACCTTTATCTGTGTATGTAACATCTACTACTAACCAACTGAGGGGAACCTGCAACTAACCAGCATTTAGTTTTAACTATCGGTTGGTGAAATATTCAAATTGTTGCCAAGAAGAAACAAGTTCTTTGAAAGTAAAAGACTTTAAACAAAAGAAAACTCTTCCTTAAAACATATGAATCTGTCTCAATCAACCTATTCAATGGAATGTTATTAAAAGTTCTTCAAGACAGAAACCCTCTACCAATAGGCACTAAGAAGATTTTGAAGTTCACTGGATTTTAACAAAAATACTTTGGCTAGGAACTGAGCCAAACGCTTCTAGAAGTAGTACTTTTGATTGGTCCAAGCATCTAAAAGGGAAAATACGTTTCAAATTATCACCAACACAGATATTAAATCATAAGAAAAAATATTATGTCAGTTTCAACAAATTTTAATGGTGTTTATCCTGCATACCAACTGACTGTATCGTATTCTGTTTTCCTAAAATGTTATAAATCAGCATGTGTCTGGAGTACTTTCAGTACTTTGATTATATTCATATAAAAATGTTTGTCTAACCACTGGTTACTTAAACTCTAACCAAACATTGTACAACTAGGGTAAACATGCCAGTAACTATGGGCAGAAAGTCTCAGTCTTAATGTTAATCAATTAAACAGAAAGTCTCAATCTTAATGTCAATCAATTAAACAGAATATCTCAGTCTTAACGGTTTATCAATTAAACAGAAAGTCTCAATCTTAATGTCAATCAATTAAACAGAACATCTGTCTTAACGGTTTATCAATTAAACAGAAAGTCACAATCTTAATGTTAGTGAATTAAACAGACCGTCTAAGTCTTAACGGTTATTCAATTGAACAGAAAGTCTCATTCTTAATGTTAATCTATTGTAACGTCTCAGTCTTAACGGTTTATCAATTAAACAGAAAGTCTCAATCTTAATGTTAATCAATTTTAACGTCTCAGTCTTAACGGTTTATCAATTAAACAAAAAGTTTCAGTCTTAATGGTTTATCAATTACTTGTCTTCTTAATGATATATTAATTAAATAGAAGGTATCAGTCTTAATTGTTAATCAATGTAACCTTAAACTCAATGGGAAAAGCCAGGCTCATATGTTGAGATAAAATTGTGGGTAAAGCAAGACTGATTTGTTGCATTATGGGTACAGGAAGTTGGACGAAACTAACAGCTTAACCGTTTTTGCTTAATGCATAATCCTTATACCTCCAGTTGTATCTACTAATAAATATTATGCTATTCAGACATTTATTTGTAATAAGTTCAATTTATATATTAAATTACATATTTCTGCCCTGTGTTTCGTCTTCCTGTCATACCTGTATCTGTATATATATATGTTTAAAGCCTATACTAAATATTAAAAGGTACTGGTACTACAGATGTACTAATATATCAACCATTTAACTTTATACATATATAGGACAATATCAATCACATATATCCTTCATGCTCTTTATTTCTGTTCGTATTTTGCTTAATATTTCATCTCATGAGTCAGTATACTATATGTATGTCAGTTTCTGAAGTTCCTAATGTTTTCATCTCAACTCTATTTTCCTTTCTATGTTTTTGATATGAAACTAAAGGAAATCTCTTGTTTATGAGAGAGTGACAACATTGATCACATCCTATGTGACAGGGAGATACACAGTGTATATAGTATATATAGAGATATAACATTTATACTGTGTAGTTACATAGATATTTCCTAAATTTTTCTTGCACCTATATTTATGGTACTTATAATACCATAGATTGTATTACCTCATAAAGCAAAAAATATAGGGTTTTGACAGGAAAAAATTGACAGAAATAGGCAAAAAGTGTGATAACAAACCTATGGTAATGATGGTCTGTCAATGGACCAAATTACTTACAGAGATTAGAACTTCCATGTGGTATTATTACACACCTGCTAAGCACATAATTACACTGACATATAAAAGATAGAAACAAAATTAAACATGATTGAGAAATACTACAGGTTTAGAGAAAGATTACAGGTGTGGAACAGTAATAGGTCTGAAGATAATATCATACAGTTATTTGTACTAATGATACTCAACATGTGAAATCTGACAGCAATATTTGGCTTGTAGTAAAACAAAGGTTTGATACATTATAGTTGTCTGGTACCGTGATTGTGCTTGTGTTATATGTTTTGTGTGAATTTTGAAGACTTGTTGCAAAGGATTAGACTGAACTATAATGTTAACATGATTTATGTTTTCTAGGAAGCTTCCAGTGCACAAAACAAAGGGGGCGGAGTTAACCTGAAAGAAAAACCTCAGCAAAAGAGCTCAAGATGGAGATGTACCATACTGTGAATGTTACATGTGTTCTGATTGGTTAAAAACTGTATTGTGATACCCTTAGGACCATTTGATTGGCTTTGAGGTATTTCTGATAGAGCTATACTGCGGAGCAGATATTGGATATGACCTATCTGTGTGGTAGAGCCGGGGTCAAATCTACTATACCTGATCTTCTTAATGGAGAGTTATGTTAATATATTTTAAAGGGAGACCACTCTATTAGTTTGTTTGACCCTTGACCTGATGAGCCTTCTGAGTAAAGGGGGATAATATTGTTCCATTTCATGTGACTTAGAATTGAAACATTTTCTTCATGTCTACTTATTTCATATGAAGATGATATCACCAGGTAACATCGTCAGAGGATGACATCACAATAGGATGACATCATAAGAAAATGACATCATCACAAGTGAGGATGACATCACTAGAGGATTACATCAAAAGAAGAAGATGACGTCAAATGTGGAGGATGTCGTCACAGGTTGGATGACATCAGAAATGGAGGATGAAATCATGTTGTGCTCAACTTGTTTATGAAAAAATGTGTAAAACCCCTCAATAATCTTTATTTAGACTTATTTAATGGGAGGTTCATCATTTGATAAAATAGATTTTAAGTACGAAAAGAGTTGTTCAGGTGCAGATTATACACAAACAAGGGAAGCCAACCTTGGTGTGTGTATCTTGTGATTGACCAGGCCTAATGTAGAGTTTACCTGTCAAACATGGTTCAAGGTGGAGCTTACCTGTAGTTTATGATTGCAAGTGGAGCTAGCCTGTCAATCATAGTATGAGGTGGAGCTAATCTGTCAGTCTTGATTGGAGGTGGAGCTAGCCTGTCAATTATCCTTAGAGGTGGAGCTAACCTGTCAGTCATGATAGGAGGTGTAGCTAATCTGTCAGTCTTGATTGGAGGTGGAGCTAGCCTGTCAATCATCCTTTGAGGTAGAGCTAACCCTTTCAAACATGATTGGAGTTGGAGCTAGCCTGTCAATCATACTAAGAGGTGGGGCTAGCCTGTCAATCATCCTTTGAGGTAGAGCTAACCCTTTCAAACATGATTGGAGGTGGAGCTAGCCTGTCAATCATACTAAGAGGTGTAGGTAGCCTGTCACTCATTGTTGTGGTGGAGCTAACATGTTAATCATAGGTTAAGGTGAAGCTAGCTTGTCAATTTTAGTTTGTGATGGCGCTAGCCGCACAGTCTGTCCTGATCTTGGGGATGATGTGTAACTTGTTCCAAATATATGTAGCTTGCCTTGTTATAGACACCTGGCTTACAATGCACACCAAATCATGCCACGTTTTATTTTGTAGACTTGTAAATGTTCCATGTTTATTTTGTCACCATGGTCGGCTGTTCAAAGACTAGTTACCTTATCATGTTACATGTTATATGTTACATGTTATAAGTTTATTACCAAATTTGGTCAAATTAATTTTCTTAAAAAATTGAAACTCAAAAATAGAAAATCATAAACAGGGTGTCTGTTGACCTTAAATTGAAAGATGTTTTTATACTTTCGGAACATTTCTCTGAAAGATGATTTTGAAAATTAATATTAGCGAATTGGTAAGCTAACCAGGCTTTGACCATCTGGGCACAGTTCTGATACTTTGTTACATGTACCATATAGTCTTCTGATACTTCAGTTACTTTTATGTTCAGTTGTCTGTTAAATTAGTACTTACATTATTGTTAGTTGGGTAGGCCGCTACTCGTATGTTGGGTAGGCCGCTACTCGTATGATGGGTAGGCCGCTACTCGTATGTTGGGAAGATGGCTATTCGTGTGTTCTTGATAGTATGTTATTAGTAAGTTCTGGGTAGTCCTTTATTTAAATGTTTTGGGTAGTATTATTGATTTGTTGGTACTTATGTTACCTGTGTTTGGTACTAAATACTTACGTTATGTGCTTCCATCGCTTTTCCTGGTGCAGCAGCTGTCTCCCCTGTTAGAAGGGTACACTTTGTTTTAAACCTTGTTACCAATGTCACGGAACGCAACATAAAACTGTAATTCAGGAGACGTTAATTGTAGCTCAATTCTGTTGGTCATTCATAAAATTAATATATTCAAACTAATACGAATTGGAATACATGTATATTCAAAAATGTTTGTTATCTAATTCACCCCTGGAGTTTCATAATGAACTATTTCAACCTTTGAATTGGAAGAGTTAAAATGTGTCCTCAGGGGTGAATGAGGTAAGGCTGATAAAAACACTGTCGATACATTCTTTGTAGAATATTATTTTGTTGAGTCATTTGCCTGTAGTAACTGGCTGAGCGAGACTTTTGTTTCAGGAATTTGAAAAGTTTTGGAATTAAAAAAATCTTGTCATTGATCCAAAAAATAATAATATGAGATTCCCTGGCCTTATCACCTACTCTTAATACTGCCCCTTCTCAAATGGTTATATGTGAAATTAGTACTTACAGACAGTTATGTTACCGACAGATATCTTATACAAAAACAAGCCTGTTATACTGCTATCATATGTCCAAAGAAAATTTGACGATATATAAGAGTTTTAGCAATGAAATGAAGGAGATTTGCCACTGCACTCTTTACAAATTCTTTCACCACTGTAGACCATAATGGACTCATCCGAATTAATGCATGGTAGATTCTACTTAAGTTACTCAGTGGTGAAAGGATGAATGAAAATGGGAGCTTTTATACCTTGATGTTGAGTGAAATGTCAAATGAAGTGAGGGGCATTATATCGCAATATTACCATATATCATGTTTAACTGGTGGTCTGTCTTATTTAGTTCACCAGTTATCAGCATCAGAATCCCAACTGTAAACTTATAAAGTATATAGGGCAATTTTTTAACTATACCTAACTGGTATGCATGCCATATATTTATCTCTCTGTTTGGCTTATGTATTAAATTTATGTGTAGGTGTGATATAATGAAGGTTGAATGTTGAAATTATTTGTATTTTTTTCATATTTTACAATATTTTGGACTTGTTTGCATAAAAACCGACTTTGAAGTCGTTTTGGTGACCTTTGTTTAATTGATTCCAACTCTATATACTTCTGAGGTTTCTGAGTGTATTTTTTTTTTATAAAGACTTCCTGTCCCGGGGAATCAAATGAAATGTTCGAATGTATGCAATTTGTTTTCAGTTAAATGCATTTCTGACCTATTTCTAAAAAGTTCTTGGCTAACTTAACTTGCAACACCCGTTGTCAGTATAATGTGACCAGGCGGAATGCTGTGCTGGGTGCCTTCGGCATGGCATTTCAGTGAGATAGCACTATAGCCCTATCACAAGGAGGCAAGCACACCAACATACTCTTGTCTCCTGCATACACACACGTAAACCCTGTCTCCTGCATACACACAAGCAAGCACGTCTTTAAATGACCTTAGCTGTTCATAAGACGTTAAACAAAATTTAACCAAACCAAACCAAACTGATAAAAAGTCATCCATCTTGACATTACTATGTAATTGACCCACATACTATCAACAGTGTTAAGGAAATAATTGTTTGAACGAAAATGTAAGCAAATTGCTTTGGCTGCCACCGGTGACCTTCGCAAAAATTCCTCCCACTTGTTTTTGTCCATTGCTAGTCCTTTACTCGACTATTTTGGCCTGTTCCCACATTTGCCGATATAGATTTACTACATTTTTTGTTAATTTGGGTAATCCTACAGTAACGACTGTAAAAGTGGACTTTTTTTTTGGTGTAGAAATGTTTGTGTTTTCCCGTTGAGTAAATCAGTGAGAAAAGATCCACTCTTAAATATTTATTTATAGATTATTTAGATTTAAGATATATATATCTTGCAAAGATTCAGAATCATTGCCAGCACAAAGAAGTCCACACAATGATTACTATAAAGAGTCAACCCAAAAATTTCCACACCATGATTACTATAAAGAGTCATAGCCCAAAAATGTCCACACGCAAATTTGTATTCAATTTTACAGTAAGTTACACAAGGTCAACTCAGTGAGATATGACCTCATAGAGGAATAGGTCCTGGTGTGAAGTAAAGTATCCCAGGGGGAATGTTGTATCCCAAGTCAGTTGTAGTATCCCAGATGTCCAATGTATATCCCAGAGTGACGGCGGTAGTCAGGACCAAACGATGCTGTACTAAATATAAGTCATCAGGCAATTTAATCACGATTGTTTTAAATTCATATATTGTATTAGCCCACTAACCCCTAAAGTCCGTTTGAACCTTACCAAAACAAAGACTTGGCAAGTCGAGTTTTAAAATGTAGGGGTGAATAAGTTAAAATGTATGTTGTCTCCCGAGAGAGCATTACTATGTGATTGATTCATATTATCAAAAAGCCTGCTTGTCTCAAATCATTTTCATGATTTCAAAGTAATGAGATTCATCATAGAAATAAGAATTCTCATTTTTTTTAAATCAATTTGAATCAGATTAAAGATCACCAAATACCTTTTTTACTTTATTTAGAACACATTTTATTGTTGTTACTAATATTTGCTGAAAGTGTGCATGTTTTATATCTTCCTATTGAAAGACTAGGATTTCTCTATCCTTACCACAGTAACAAGTTTTCTAAGTTTATTTACCTCTGTGGACAGATTAGGTCAGTCTAGATCAGAAGATGGGAAAGTCCATTGAGAAATGTAGGGGTAGGAAGGGTGGACATATTTGTGGGTATATTTGGTTAATATTTTTTATGTGTCATTGTTTCCATTGTTTCCATTATTTTATCCTGTTAAATTTATTTCCTGTTTTGAATACAAATTATTTAATTTTGATATGTGTCACATGAGCTTATATAAAATTCTTAAATGTTCATAGATTGACTTGACCTTTGACCCTTTACAGTGACCAAGCTGAACATCTAGACGATATATAGTTGAACCTGGTTTAACTCGTTGACCCCTGAAGACACGTTTAAATGCTTCCAATTTAAAGATATGAAATGAAATTTCAGAGTTGTACGAGTTAACATGATCTAATATCCCTTCTTTGTTTTATTGTTTTTCATGGAAAAACTAGTACATCTTATTCTAGATAATTAAGACAGATTTTTTAGGGGGGAGGGTAAAAGAAGAGCTGGTATATATCTTTTGTATCTCCATGTTATAAATGCGTGCCCACAGACAATAAGACTCGGTCACTGTATACCTGATCTAGGACTCAATGTTAGACTGAGTGCTGTGTGTTGTTACTCTGCAGGGAAATGTCCAGAGTTTAGCAGCAGGTCACTGTAACAAGGTCAATGAAGGTCAGGCTTGATTTAAACTGTAAATAAAGACACCTGTTATGTACAGCAAACCTCTCTGTAACGACCATATATACAGTGTCTGTACTGTGTGATCCTACACCAAACTTCTATATACCGACCATTATGTAAATTGTCTGCAGTGATGCTAAATAAAACCTCTTATAATAATCTTATTTATATAACTGTATGAACTTAACATCAAAACAAACCTCTCTATACCGACCATTAATGCAGAATGTCTACTGTAAAGACACTGACCTTACATCAAACCTCTCTATACCGACCATTAATGCAGCATGTCTACTGTAAAGACACTGACCTTACATCAAACCTCTCTATAACGACCATATATTTACAGAATGTCTGCATTGTGTGATGCTATATCAAACCTCTCTATTACGACCTTATTGATATAACTTTGTACTGTATGAACACTACACAATAGCGAACCTCTCTATAACTATCATTATATACAGAACATCTGTACTGTTTTCACCTGACTACGTAAAACCTCTCTTTAGCGACCATATATTCAGAAAGTTTGCTCTGTATGAACAGTCTAATGCAACATCATACCTGTCTATAACATCCATTCTTTATACAGAATGTCTACTAATGACACTTGACCCTTTATCAATCACCCCTAAAAGTCTGTGGTCTACAGGTTTTCTGTGCTGTATGAACACTTAAACGTTTAAACCTGTCTTTAAAACCATTAAATACAGAATGTCTACTATTGAGACTGACTCTACAGCAAAACCTCTCTATAACATACACCTCTATAAACATAATGTCTCTACTACTGAGACTGACCCTACAGCAAACCTCTTTCACGAACATATACACAGATGTTTGTACTGTTGAGACTGACCATACAACAAACCTCTCTATGACGACCATGTATACAATGTCTACCGTTGAAACTGACCCTACAGCAGACCTCTCTTTCACGACCATGTACACAGAATGTCTTAAAATTTATGTATAGGGACCCTGATCAAACCTTGGACCTGGGGAGTTGGGGTCCGGTATAGCCTATCATATCTACTTATACAGATACTTGATACTTTATATAAATTTTAATTACATTTGAAAGTAACTTAATTCAAATATTATACAGAACACAAGGTTACAATGAATTTTGTAATTTTTGGGACATTTTTTATGTCAATTTTCCATGATTTGGTACAAATCCATGAATTGTGCCGTGATTATTTAAGTATTATACTCCAATGTCTACCATACACTGTCTTATGTTACTTAAATTAAGTTTGATGTAATATTACTCTGTCTGTCATACAGTATTTTTATTTTGCTGTTAAATTCAACTTAAAATGGTTGAGATAAGATAAATAACTGATTAAAACAATCGTCGTATTTGCTGGGAATTTCTTATGTTGATGACATCATATTTTTATTCAAACACATTTCTTAATTATTCAAGTAGATTATAGACAGGTTGTATGAGAATAAGAAACTTCATTTATTAAACTTTTGTTTTTTTTCTGTAAGAAAATGATATTGAACAAGAACTAGTTTCAGTTATCATAGATCTGCTTTCTTACTCTTCTACAAGCCGAGGTAGATATCCATTCAATCTTCATCACGTGATATTCCTAATCCTTATATGGTCATCACGTGATATTCCTTATCCTTATATGGTCATCACATGATTTTCCCAATCCTTATATGGTCATCACCAGTCTACCCAGTACCATGAGATTTCATGAAGCCATTTGCATCCACCTATTATTGAGTTTTTGTAAATAATTATAATGTCCCTGCATTGTATACAATGAAGTTTGTAAAACACTGCTTACAGTTAAGTGTTAGAGTTGTAACATGTTACAATATGTTCGTTTGAAGAATTTCATTAAAAATGTTGTGTCATTTT